CCCCCCCTTCATCCGGAACAAATTAATTGGGTTTCCAATGGGTCTTACAGTTTTTGTGTGGTTTTTTGGTGATTTTTTTCTTCTGCTGGAACAGATTAATTGCATTTCAATGCATTCCTATGGGAAATGGTGCTTCAACTTATGACCATTTTGAGTTACGACTGGAGTTCTGGAACCAATTAAGTTCGTTAAGTCGAGGCACCACTGTAAAACTGTTTGCCTGGGTAGAAGACAGACCAAAAAACTGCACTTCACTCGAAGTTGTTAGTTAAACATTTCAGGCAAGCTTCAACAAGAAATGTTTTCCTATTGAATTCTTCCCAAATTATGTGGAGCAATTTTAAATATCACCTACCCTTTCCAACATCCCTACAATATATCTTGTGTCACCAAAGGGGCCTATCTCCTCATAGCATCTTCCATAAACAATGGCCAGGGCTTGCAGGCAAAGGCATTTCATGTTTATTTTAGGAGTAAGCAGGAAACGGTGGTACAATTCATTGAAAAATTCATAACTGTGAGAAGAAAGAAGAAACCATTTATGACACTGAAGATAGGACTTCAAAATTCAAATTAAACAACTGGATAATACAAACTCACGATTTCTTTATTGCTCCGCTTTCTTCGTTTTCATCTTCTTCTAACAACAATCTCAAGTAATAGTCACCTATTTTTATTTCCTCTGACAGGCACTCATACTTCACCTTAAAAAGAAGTCCAAAAGAACTATGTGGTATGATCAGTGGAAACATGGCATCTGAATGGTAATATTTTTGTGCAAAGAAACTTTGGTGGGTGTAGCTAAAGATGACAAGCACCATCTTAGGCATTCTCTCTTATATAAATAAAGAGGTGTGCTCAAGTATGCTTGCTATGGCACATATGGATATCAACTAAAGACGAATTATGCTTTCTTTAATTTAAATTTTCTTCAGTTGCCATATGCTAATTTCATTCAGGCATGAATAGTCTAAAATGGCAGTCCTATTAACATTTCTCTGAGATAAGTCCAAGGCTTATTTCGCAAGACAATGCGCACAGAAACTTGAACAATGACGTAAGTAGAATTTGAAAGATGAATTCACTAGATTTTTTCAACAGACAGTCCTAATAACTAATAATGAAAACAGAAATACATCGTTGCAAAACACAAACAAGGAGAAAGACACCAAATTAACATAAACTTGCTTTTCATATTACCATGTGTAAATAACAGTTTGGGAATTTAAGTAGGTTTAAAATCAATATAACACTGATATTAAAGGAAGCAAAAGCATCAAGTGAAAACTTACCTCAAATTCATGATGATTCCAGGAGATGACATTAGCACTGCCAAGTTCTCTGTCAATCTGAAATGCCCGCATTTCAGACTCCAAGGTATCTCTTAATTCTTCTCGTGTTTTGAAATTCCAAATTAGATTGGATCTAGCATGATCTTGAAGAAATCTGTATAAAAGATATAAGAAGCAGATTTCACAAAATGGATAAAATCTTGTTGCTTAGTATAGTAAGTCACAGTAAAATAGGCCCATTCAAATAATGACAATTTGGTGAGTCAATTTGGTGAGTTCCACTGATTCAAATGGGCCTACTTGAATTAATGGAACTTCAGAAGCAGCTGAGCCGCCAAATCTCCTCATTGATTCAATGGACCTATTCTAGTGTGACTTACTGAGCTCAGCAAAAGAATTTCAGCCACCACTTTACTATTAACAGTTCAGAAATTAGCACATCTAACTTTTTGTCAGGCAATTCTAACAAAGAATTCTAATCAACAGCTAAAACTCTGCATAAGCAAAAGTTGTGCTTGCAGAAGGACAATGATGTCACCAGCAAGGGGAGATTTTCAGTGAGGAAAGACCTCTTTTTATCCTGTGGCTTGCCAAGATAATGAGTAGTCTGTTCCATTGCATAGGAATCATGGAAGGTCGGATGAGATGAGGAAGTCTTTAGTTACTGAAAATCTCCTCCTCTCAGTGACATCACCCACTTTCACAGGCATTACATACACAGCAGGACTTTGGCCAGTACAAATAGCTAAAGCAACACTAAGACTTCACTCCTAAATATTTACCTGTAATAGAAAAGATCCCAATTTGCTTGTATTTTTATTCTCTGCCTTCGCTTCCTCAGTATGACTGGCTTTTGATTCATATTCTGCAAAGAACATTTAGTCAAATTGGAGCCCAGAGGATGTATCACAACTTAATGTGAAATGAAATTAACACCATTGCAAAATGGAGCTTTTAATAATCAGAACAATTATATTTGAGTGTACATTCTTCTTGTAAATAGAAAATTGTCTGACGTTCAAGAATAGAGATATATTCCTCCCTCTAGCTAAAACAGAAGGCATTTATAAAACAGTTAGAAATGAACCAAAGCATTAACAAAGTTGAAGCCTTTGATTTATGAACAACCCCATTAAGCTGAAAAAGAAATTAGAGTGAAAATATCTGGCCGAAAGAAGATAAGGAGCTGCACGTTTTGCTTACCAGCCTGCTTCTTCAAAAAGGAAACTGATTCTTAAACAGCAGGCTGGTTCAAGGCCGAAAGAGAGACAGCGAGACGGAAAAATCTTTTGTTTCTGGAAAAAATCCCAGAGTGAAATACCACTCTACAAGCTTTAAGAGACAGAAATTTTGTGGATACTGTTTAGCCTGGACCTTTTTCCCTAGACCAGGGGTCAGGGAACTTTTTTACCTTTTACCTCCCGAAAAATTTATATATGCTGACATTACCCCCTTGATTCGAAAGGAAGGAAATCATACATTATTTGAATTAAAAATATTATTGAATCTACACAGGCTGTGTATTGAACTAGCAGGATGCACCAAATTTGATAAAGATGTGCACTATTTTAGCTGGAACACATTGCACTCCAGCCATGGTGTGGTATAGGGAGTAGTAAGGTGTCCATCGTGCCTAGCAAGTTGCATTAAATTTTTGCTAGCTCGCAGAGGATTTAATTATCATCAGTGGCTACCAGAGTGGTGCTAGCAATGGCATGCTTGCTAGACAGCCAACGCAGAATTTGGGGGGGGGGGGCTTTCCCTACCACTTTAATTATTCTATTTATGGTGTG